TGAAAATGAGTTGCATAAGCTCAAAACAACAACATGAGTAACAAATTGCTAAAGTTTCTCTACTTTCTGTAAGTTAACTTCTTTTGTTCGACCTCTGATATTTAAATGCAGCCAAGAAAAACAAAGATTTACTTTCCTGTGAGTATAAATAGCTACAGAACATGTGTAGGATGCCAGACGTTTATGTAGAAACACCAAGGGCACACAGTGTCTTCTCCATGTTCTTTTAAACCGAACCATGTTTCATCTTAGCACACAGCTTTTGTGCTGCACCGCCGGCTGCTGCACCATCACCACCTTGTCTCTCTGCCAGTGAGAGAGCGCAGTTTACTGTCATTAAATCAAACACCACCCTGTTGGTGTTTTCTCCTGACTTCAGTCAAGAGAACACATTCACATCAGTTTTTTCTGCACTCCAGCCTGTTACATCATGTCTAGAGTACACATCCAGTGTTTTATAACTGCTAAGGGTCTCTTACTGCCCATGATCAAATATCTCTACCGCCCCCTGCTGGTGGACCTGTCTGAAGGTATTTATCAGTGATGTTACTGTGTTATGCAACAAATCACAGTGATTGTTCTGAAATGGCTTCAAAATGAACATGGCCTTTGGAGGTAATCGCTGGGCTTTTAATTTGCACTCAGTCTAATTTGATTTAGACTAAATATGCTTCTGTTTCTCCTCCACCCAAACACTGCTCCTTCATTTGTTCTTGCTGATATTATACATTTCAACAGCTGCACATTATCTTGCAAAGATAAATTACATTTGATCTTAAAGGGATACTATGCAGTAGCACTGGGCTGTAGGGATGGGTACCTTTGACATTTGAATCGATACTGTGCCAATTCCCGGTACCTACGAATCGATACTGGTACTTAACGGTACCAATTTTTGATACTTTTGAGTGTTTAATAATTTTTTAATCACTTTTTAAATTACATATATATTATTTTTCCGATATATAACTATATTAGATAAATATCATGATACAACTGTTTGTATTTTTTCATCGTAGTGTTGTATAAAATTCTTCATTATGAAAACCTTTAACAACAACTGTTTCTAAATGATGCAAAAACAAACCCAGATCCATGAACTCCTAATCCTCTTCTATGCCCTCTGGAATAGCTCTGATGAGGAGACCATGTATTATAAACTACAAATGAAACTAAAGCAAACGTCAATACCGTACAACAGTTTGTATTATAGTATTGTGGTGTTCCACAAACTAAACCCAGCTCCATGTACTCCTTTTCTTGTCCTTTTTCATCTGGACAAACTGTGTGATGGTGGGTCCTTGTAGTTTTATAAACTACAAACTACACTGAAGCAAACATATTTGCTGTGAACTAAATTTACTGTGTATCTTCATTCCTTGTGCCGTTCATTTTCAAACTGTTTATTTTTCCTACTCGGAAGTTGGAATTTCCAAGGAGAAAGTGAACGCACCATTAGCTATGTAAAACAAAAACTAAACTATCAAGCTAACGTCGTCGTCGTCATCTTCCTCCGCTTATCCGGGTCCGGGTCGTGGGGGCAGCATCCCAACTAGGGAGCTCCAGACCATCCTCCCTCCGGCCACCTCCACCAGCTCCTCTGGCAGGACCCCAAGGCATTCCCGGACCAGATTGGAGATGTAACCTCTCCAACATGTCCTGGGTCGACCCGGGGGCCTCCTGCTGGCAGGACATGCCCGAAACACCTCCCCGGGGAGGCATCCAGGAGGCATCCTGACCAGATGCCCAAACCACCTCAACTGGCTCCTTTCGATCCGGAGGAGCAGCGGTTCTACTCCGAGTCCCTCCCGAATGTCCGAGCTCCTCACCCTATCTCTAAGGCTGAGCCCGGCCACCCTACGGAGGAAACACATTTCGGCCACTTGTGTCCGCGATCTCGTTCTTTCGGTCATTACCCAAAGCTCATGACCATAGGTGAGGATTGGGACGTAGATCGACCGGTAAATCGAGAGCCTGGCTTTCTGGCTCAGCTCCCTCTTCACCGCGACAGATCGGCTCAGCGTCCGCATCACTGCAGACGCCGAACCAATCCGCCTGTCGATCTCCCGATCCCTCCTACCCTCACTCGTGAACAAGACCCCGAGATACTTAAACTCCTCCACTTGAGGTAGGACCTCTCCCCCGACCCGGAGTTGGCAAGCCACCCTTTTCTGGTCGAGAAAAAACTATCAAGCTAACATTAACTTAAACAGTTTATTTAGCTGCTGGAGCAGATTAAGATGCCTCATACTCAGATATTTATCGCTGGTTTCATCATCACCCAATAGACCATCGCATTTAGTGAAGTGGGCCCAAACTTCAGAACACTTCCTCGCTTTGTTTACAGCTCGCCCACAGCATGGCACAAGTACCGAAACAAGGCACCGTTTCATATGACATGAATCGGTACTCAGTGGAATTTGGTCGGTGCCTTAAAAAGTTCCGAATTTGGAAATCATCTCTACTGGACTGGCAGAACAGGGTGGTGGTCCCCCTGTTTAAAAAGGGAGACCGCAGGGTGTGTTCAAACTACAGGGGGATCACGCTTCTGAGCCTCCCTGGAAAAGTCTATTCGGGGATTCCAGAGAGAAGTGATGCAGATGTTGTACCAGTCTGTTGTGGTGAAGAGAGAGCTGAGCTGGAAGGCGAAGCTCTCGATTTACCGGTCAATCTACGTTCCTACCCTCACCTATGGTCACCATACCATACCAATTTACTTATAAAGCACCATTTCAAAACAGCATGGCAGCTAACCAAAGTGCTGTACATAAACGAGCCAAATGCTTGAACAAATCAACAAAACACAATGAAAGCATGAAAATCAGGTAAAATACATAAGAACATAGCATAAATAATCAAGGATAAAAATTCCTACAAAAAAACAATAGAATAAGAGAACAGGTAACAGTACTGTTAAAAATAATGTGATGAATGATAAAAACCCTTTTTGTCACGAGCTTTGGTTAGTGACCGGAAGAACAGGATCACAGGTACAAGCAGTGGAAATTAGTTTTCTCCACAGGCTGGGCTCTCCTTTAGGGATAGGGTGAGAAGCTCGGTCATCCGGGAGGGGCTTAGACCAGAACTGCTGCTGCTCCGCAACGAGAGGAGTCAGTTGAGATGCCTCCTGCACGCCTACCTGATGAGGTTTTCCGGGCCCGTTCAACCAGGAGAGGACCTAAAGGAGGACCTAGGACATGCTGGAGGGACAATGTCTCTCAGCTAGCCAAGGGACCCCTTTCCCCACAGGAGCTGGCCCAAGTGGCTGGGGAGAGGAAAGTCTGGGCCTCCCTGCTTAGGTTACTGCCCCCGTGACCCGACCCCGGATAAGCGGCCGAAAATAGATGGATGAATGGATGGATAGGATACTATGCAACATTTTCATATTTTAAATTAATTTTCCTGAGCCAATGCTAAAATGACCCTTACGGGGTTAATGAAAAGCCACTCAGACCCTAGTGCTTCCTGTGACCAGAGTACCGGACTTGCAACTTCAGAGTTGCCACTGGTGGAGGGAGCTGTGGAGTGGAGTGGAGCTGGCGTGGTGGAGCTGGAGTCTGCTTCCAGCACGTTTTCTGCATGTTTTAGATTGTGAACACAGCTGATTTGTTTCATTTAGTGATGGACCGCCCCTCTAGAAACTAATGAAGGCGGGGGAGACATTTCAGCAGTTAGATTAAGGGGCTGAAAAGACAAACTCACAGCGAGGAGATAGGTTTTATTTTCAGTATAAGCACAGTGAGTGACAAAAGCAAGCACAACTATAGTATCTCTTTAATGTTTACTTCATGTTCAGCATGTTTACTATTTATTTAGCCATATTTCCCTCAGCAAAAGTAAGTAGGTAAAATAAAAAAATAAAAAAGGAAGCTGAAAGCATAAAGAAAATCTAACATTTATTTATATGTTTAAATACTTAAAGGATTTGAGTTATTTTCAAGTCTGCAATTTAAATCAGAAATGTACTGAGTAACTTTTTGGGTTTGTTTTAGTATTTAATAATGAATAGGCCTAAATAACATATTCCAAAAGGTCTTAACTTATTTAATGCATTTCAGATATTTTAATTATGGAATGATCACTATAATATGTTAAATTCTTTCACACAAGAGCCCTTTATTTACATTTTGTCTTTATTTTAGTAAAAAATGTTATAAGAATTTTTCTCTAAATCCTTTTGATTTGAATGTTAGAGAAAATTCTGCTACGATGTTTACTACTAAAGAAAATAAATAAATAATGAAAAACACTGCTGGCAATAATTTTAGGCTTGTGAGGTTATTATTCAGGTAGGAAATTGTACAACATTAATTTGACCTCATTAATTTAATTTATGTCTTTGTTACATTGAGGTAATCAGAGGTGTGACTCGAGTCAGACTCGAGTCATTATTTTAATGACTTCTGACTTGACTTGATACAATCTATAAAGACTTACGACTTGACTCAGACTTGAACGCCAATGACTTGTGATTTGAATCGACTTCTGTTGACTTGATGATGACTTGAGCATAGTTGATATTTTAGCACAAAAGTGTCACGGCATGGACGAAAATCATAAATCATTCTTCGTTCTGGGTTTGATTTACTGTTAAATGCAGCAGCACTTTGTTTATAATCTAATATCAGTTGCACTTTCTGCTTGTTTGAGCAAATAAATGAAGCTTTATTTCTGGAATTTATTTATTATCATTGTCATTAAATTGAAGTTGGACAGATGACTTGATTATGACTTGAAAATTAAAAGTTTAGGACTTGGACTTGACTTGGACTTCCAGATCATTGACTTTGGACTCAACTTGGACTTGGTTGTCTTTGACTTGGACTTGACTCAAGACTTGACTGGGAAGACTTGTGACTTACTTGTGACTTGCAAAGTAGTGACTTGGTCACACCTCTGGAGGTAATCCAATTTGTTTGATTCATCGTGAATTTTTTTTTGCCAGAAATATTCAAATTTTCAGATTTGACGGAAGTGCTTTTATTCTGAAGGTACAACTTCCTATATTAGTTATCTAACCGTTAGCTTGACTCCGTCCTGAATGGCTTGAACGAAAAACTTCAATTGATGGACAAACTCAATGGGAAGGTGAAAGCCAAGCATGCCGCTCCGGTGAAAAGTCCACAAAGTTTTTGGGGGGAGCCTTCCCGAGTCTACCGGACGCTTTGTTAAACATTTTTCCACCAAAAACGGTGAGTTGACCAACGTTTCTGTCAGGTTTTTGTCTGAATGACTGTTTCTTCGAGGCTTCGGAGAGGCTACTAATGGACACATACGCTAAAACTGCTTTGTTTGTCTTAAACGTGAACTTACTGTAGCTTTTCGGTGGTTTGTTTGTCTGTAAGCTAGCACGTGAACAAAGAGCGTAGCTCGTTAACTTGGTAGACACTTTTAATATTAGCTTTTACCGTGGCGCGTGCAGTATTTGGGCTGAAATAAGTCAAAACTGTACTTTTCGCTATTTAATTTGACTGTAGGTAAAGAGTCGAGAGGGTCTTCTGAACCAGTTCCATCGCTATTCGGATAAATTCCTTCATGTCTCCTCAAAGGCAGTTCTTCAAAATAAGAATTGCAGGAAAGAGTATCCAGTAAAAATTATCTTCATTTTTTGGAAAGTTGGGATCTCTGGCCATCTTTTAGAAGATGGAATCTTCTCTCTTACAAACGGCAAGGACAGATACACTGATGGTGTTTTCAAGGCCGATACCAGAATGTGATTTTTGTACAGCTCTGATCTGCCAATACGGAGTTTAGATGAGGCTCCGTTATTAAAAGAAAAATCAACAAAATGCTTTTATACTTTCTTTTAAGGTTGAAAGTTTTGCTTATTAAAATGAACATAGATCTTTTCTTTGTAGCAGGAACTGGTGCTTAGTTGAATAAAGGAGTGGGAAGAGATAATTGCAGCCAGTTTTGGAATGGAGATTTTGCTGTGACCCCAATTAGTTTAACAAAGACAGACCAAAAAAAAAAAAAGATTTTAACACATTTTAAACCTTTTTTTTTTGTAAAAAAAAACAAACAAACAAACTCAAATCTACAAAAATCTCGATCACCTGTTTTTATCATAGGGTTATAAATAATTTTGTCATATTGTAATTCTGAAATAATAAAATATTGAACTAGTTTGTATCACAAATTGGAACTTATTCTAAATTTGTGCCTCTTTTAGAATCACTGCCAACTTGAACTTCACACTTTAGCTTCACAATTGCTTTAAAAGTCCTGAATTCAGATTCAGTTGTGGTCCCGTGTCAAGCTTCATCTAGTATTGGTCTCAGACTTCTGAAGCCTGTATTTGGGAAAACATCTCCATTAGATAGAGAAATAAAAAGACCTCTAAAAATCTGAGTGACCTGCTGGCAGCCCCCAGCGGACCCCTGGGTTCTTGGCTTTCAGGCAAAGAACAGAAAACATAACAAAAGATTTTATTTCCCTTTAAGTCAATAACTGTATTTATTCCCACAGAGCTCACAAAACCCAAACTGATGTGCACTTGCACATGTAAATATTTTAATCCTCTAGTATCAGTCACTTTGCTTACTTAAGCGATGGCAATAAAATGAGTTTATTGCTCCTAGTCTGATTTTGACTAGTTTTTTTTTAAAGTTTCCCATCTTTATCTTTCCTGAAACCACGTGTCCACAAACTTAACACTATCCTTTCTATCTCAAAGACCTTTTTATCCTGATGCTTGCATTCCTCGCATTCTTGGTACAGTTCTCTAGCTGTGGTGTAATTTGAAAGAAGGGAGGTGTCGCTTTTAGACCACTTGATATATTGGGATATTTACATGCCATTTAAATCAAATTAAACCATTAAGTTAATCTAAAACATCTGAATCAAATGAACTTAGCAGCAGGCTTAATTTTATACGTGAGCTGTACGAATTCTCGTCCAAATGGAGCAGTTTGTTGTCTGCAGTGGTGGGACTAAAGTGCTGTCATGAATGTGGAGCTGTGGGTGGTGGGATTACAGGAAAATGGCCGTTTCTGAGTAGAAAGGAGTTTCTCCAACGTACCAGGAAACGCTTCCTGTCAAAGCCATGTGAAGGTCTTCCGGAGTGTGTGGATGCTTCTGCTGGCATCCTGTTTATTATTTCAACTCATAATTCTGGACACATGTCGTGCTATTTTACCCATCATCTGAGTTTATCCACTTGGAGATTAGGACATGAAAACTTGAGGCTTCTTCTTTGTTAAACGTTTGGGAACAAAAGCAAAGAAGTCTGGTTTTTCTTGGCTCTCTTACTCATTTCCTCTGGCTTTAGTTTCCCCCCCCCTCTTCTAATGTGATTTTTGCCTCTGATGTAGTTGGGGCGCATGGAAAAACTGCAGTAACTTGGGATCAGTGTTACTGTGCTACCATGTGAGTCTGTGGAAGACAAAGACTTGTTTGTGCAGCGAATCAGTGTGGCCGCCGCTGCTGCAGAAAGACATAAAGCACTAGTTTAAAGTCTGAGCTGACGCTTCTGTCAAGCAATCTGACCTCACAGCAGCTCAGACCTCAAGTCCACAACATCTGTGCAGGGGGAGAGGGTAAACAATGGGACAGTGTGGGACGGGAGCTAGGTTGTTATTCAGAAGTTCATTTCACATGGCATATCTTTGCCTTTATTGTGTATGGGGAACCAAAAATAACCATACAGGCTATTTCTACTCATACATTTGCTGATAAATCACTCTGAACAAAGAGGTGGGACTCTGCAGCATCAGTGTTTGCTTGTCTAGAGATGATCAATACTGTCTGGTGACTGGAATCGCCCAGTATTGATCAGCTTAATCCATGTTTGTCCAAAAGTTAAAAGTAAAATGAAAATTTTCTTTAATATAAGTATTAGTTTATCTTAAAGGTGTGGTTCACTCATTTAATTAATTCTATGCAGTGGTCTCTAGTAGGGATGTCCCAATCCAATCACGTGGTTTCAGACTGATCGGGACTCGGGCTTTACTTCCCGATCCAAGCCCTGATCCATACTCGGATACTGGGTTCAAATTACAGGAGAGCAACTTGGTTCTCCTTAAAGGTTGTCAGGCTCCCCTGATGCCCTTACCTTACACACCCAGAAGGAGCACTAAAGAGATCCAGTTTCTACCTTTATTATATTATTTATATGGACTCAGAGTAGCGGGGATTCTTTTGGGCAGAGATGCAGAGCGGCAGGCAGACTGCTAATTATTCTTGAACTCCAGCTGCGTTCTGCACACGGCCACAGTAACATTTTCTAAGTTTCTAAGTGGCGTCACCAAAAAATATATAATTAACACACAGTCATTCGTGTCCATTCATTTTCTCTCTGGTAAGTTGTTGTTGTCGTCGTTGTCTTGTCGTCGTCTTCCTCCGCTTATCCGGGTCCAGGTTGCGGGGGCAGCATCCCAACTAGGGAGCTCCAGACCATCCTCCCCCACTTCCACCTCCACCAGCTCCTCCGGCAGGACCCCAAGGCGTTCCCGGACCAGATTGGAGATGTAACCTCTCCAACGTGTCCTGGGTCGACCCGGGGGCCTCCTGCCGGCAGGACATGCCCGAAACACCTCCCCAGGGAGGCGTCCAGGAGATCAGCATCACTGCAGACACTGAACCAATCCGCGTGTCGATCTCCCGATCCCTCCTACCCTCACTCGTGAACAAGACCCCGAGATACTTAAACTCCTCCACTTGAGATAGGACCTCTCCCCAGACCCGGAGTTGGCAAGCCACCCTTTTCCGGTCGAGAACCATGGTCTCAGATTTGGAGGTGCTGATCCTCATCCCAGCCGCTTCACACTCGGCCGTGAACCTACCCAGCAAGAGCTGAAGGTCAGAGCTGGATGAAGCTAGGAGGACCACATCATCTGCAAAAAGAAGAGACGAGATTCTCCTGCCACCAAACTCGACACACTCCACACCACGGCTGCGCCTAGAATTCTGTCCATAAAAGTGATGAACAGAACCGGTGACAAAGGGCAGCCCTGGCGGAGTCCAACCCTCACTGGGAACGGGTCCGACTTACTACCGGCTATGCGGACCAAACTCACGCTCCTCTGGTAAAGGGACTGAATGGCCCTTAACAGAAAACCACCCACCCCATACTCCTGGAGCGTCCCCCACAGGGTGCCCCTGGGGACACGGTCACAAGCCTTCTCCAAATCCACAAAACACATGTGGATTGGTTGGGCAAACTCCCGTGCCCCCTCCATCACCCTTGCAAGGGTATAGAGCTGGTCAACAGTTCCACGGCCAGGATGAAAACCACATTGCTCCTCCTCAATCTGAGATTCAACTATCGATCGGACCCTCCTCTCCAGTACCTTGGAGTAGACCTTTCCAGGGAGGCTGAGGAGTGTGATCCCTCTATAGTTGGAACACACCCTCAGGTCACCCTTCTTAAAGAAGGGGACCACCACCCCGGTCTGCCACTCCACAGGAACTGCCCCCGATGACCACGCAATGTTGCAGAGATGTGTCAACCATGACAGCCCTACAACATCCATAGCCTTGAGATACTCAGGACGAATCTCATCCGCCCCCGGGGCTCCGCCGCTGTGTAGTTGTTTGACTACCTCAGCAACTTCTACCCCCGGGATTGGACAGTCCATCCCCAGGTCTCCCGGCTCTGGCTCCTCCTCGGAATGCGCGTAGGAGGGATTGAGGAGCTCCTCAAAGTATTCCTTCCACCGTCCGACTATAGCCCCAGTTGACGTCAGCAGCTCCCCATCCCCACTGTAAACAGTGTGAGCGAGTTACTGCTGTTGTGATTTGAAGTGGTATAGTTATATACTGTAATTAGATAATTTAATTACCTGATTTCGTATATTTATACACTGTAATTAGATCAATCAGAAGTGGCTGTTTTTATCATCAGGGAGTTTACTTAAACGCTCTGTATTGACTGAGAGACAAGAAAAGAGAGTTGGGATAGTTTAAGAATCTTTAATTTCTATTATTATAAATTCTTACAATCTACCAGGACTATCTCAATGATGAATGCATATGGATTTAGATGTTTCATGTTGGTGTGTGTGTGTTTTGTTCAGAATCTCTAGGCTGACGTAGCGAGTCTGGTTTGTTATGACTAGGCTACCACGAGGCTTCAGAAGCTGATGACATGAGCCGCCATATTGCCGTACCTTAGATGGAGTCTCCTGTGTAGATCAGGAATTGCCAGGTTCCAAGACCTCGGTTGTACTGGAGCTGGTGAAACAGCGGTCAC